TAGGAGAGCTGGTCACCCGAAAGCTTTTTCGTTAACTCTCTTGTTCTCTCGCTGTCTAGCAGTGAATCTGACACTGATGAAAACAATCAGGAAAGTAATGAAGACAATCAAAATGATTATGATTACGATAATGTGAATCCTTGGATTAGGATTAGGGGTTCTGAATTGGATAGAGATAACCCCATTTGAGTACTTATGCTAATTTTTACACAATATATCATTAAAATGTTTGTCAGAGAGAATAATAATAATAACTAATAAGTATGCAGACAACTTTCTCAGTAACACCCAGCTCAAATAAACCATAATTGGATGCACAATGGTGAAAAGGACTGCTCTGTCTTAAGCAACCGAAATGTACCCCGAAGGCAGGAAAAGGAGTAGAGCTCTGTGCCAGGGGTGTCTAAAGGGCCTCCATGGGCCTTATTTCCCAAACCACATGTGTTAGGATCCATTCATGCTTCATTAATAAAAAAATTCACATAATTTACACCGGTAAGTCATATTTATTCTCAGTCGAAATCGACGATGCTGTTTACATGCAGAAAAAAAATCATGTCGGGCGAGTTTTGTGGTATAAATGCTGAGTCATTCTGACCTGTTTCGGACGAACAGTTGGAGCGTAAACTTGGGTAAGTGTAAACATGTCGATCGGTTATTTTTGTTATAGTCAGTGAAATGTTAAAACCTTTACATAATGCAAGCTTGAAGACTTTTACTTCGAAATCATTTATTGTTAACGTTACTGGCTATTTCAGGAATTTAAGATATCGTTGAAAAAAAAAAAAATCCACATGTTATGAAAAAACGGCGGCCATCTTTTTTTTAACATAATTTTATTGACGGGAGGGCGGTGAAATTATTTGGAAATATAACGATCTTTTGAGACAGTTATTGCTCTGTCTTCAGGATATGTTAAGACCACTGTTAAATTATTTTGTAAGTTGATATTATTTAACATAGATCATGAAGAAATAACATTGTCAATTTTAATTTCTAATGTTCTTATGTGAGATTTTCATTTTGTTAATTTATATTTTGATTGAAATTATTTCAATTTTCAGTTCACTAATTTTAAAATTTAATTTTTAAATATTTTGTATACTTTCAGCTGGACAAGGATACCATCTGTGGACAAGGACACTATCCATTACTGTGGATAGCTATATTGCATTGGATGTTTTTATGTTTGTATTTAAATGTACCAGTACAATAATGTCGATGAGAGATAGAGATTAATTTAATAACTTTTATAGATAAAATGTTTTTTAATTTTGTATAGCATGATTTAAATTGCTTTTGTAATACTTGAATATTCTGTTACATTTGGGTTGTCACTATCTATTTGTATTGAAAATTTCATTGTAGTAGCTTTATTAGTTTAAAAGTTATTTATTTAAGTGTAAAAATGTCTCGGCCGCGGTCGCTTTTCATGAAATATTTTTTCTAATGTCGCATAAATTTTTCTGATCTGCATTTTATTTATTTTAAATTTACCTTACTTTTAGATGGACATTATCTATTTGTATTGAAAATTTCATTGCAATAGCTTTACTAGTTTAAAAGTTATCTATTTAAGTGTAAAAATGTCTCGGCCGCAGTCGCTTTTCATGAAATATTTTTTCTAATGTTGCATAAACTTTTCTGACCTGCATTTTATTTATTTTAAATGTGCCTTACTTTTAGATGGACATTATCTGTTTGTATTGAAAATTTTATAGCAATAGCTTCATGGGTTTAGTAATTATGTCATTTTATGTTAAATTTTTCAACTACTGTCGTTATCCACACCATGTGCAAATAAAATCAAATTTTTTCAAATATAATATGGTAATTCACAATTCATGTGTTTTGTTTTGTTAAGCATTGTATTGTAAATGTTGCCTCCAAATTTGAGAGCTCTAACTTTAATAGCCAAAAAGATACATGCAAAATAGTACTAAAAGAGTAATAATGCGACCAGTCTTAAAAATTAAATACAAAGCCAAATAGTGGGGAAAAATAAATCACTAAAAAATTCATAACTTTTCTCCTATAAGTGATAGAAAGATTATCTTGGTGTCATTGGAAAGCTTAAAGCCAGTTCTTTCCAATGATATGCTCTTTGTGTGTCAGATGTATTTGAAAATTTGAGTTGGAGTACCTAGTTTTATTCATTTATTGGAAGTGTGAAGTGTTTTAATGGAAATGTGAAATAATGTATAATAATTTTTTAATTAAAAGTTTTTTAGGCCTAGGCTAATTCAGATAGATCAGGTTTAGGGATACATTTAGGGTTCATGTTAGGTTTAGGGATACAATTAGGGTTCAGGTTAGTTTAGGGATACATTTAGGACTTAGGACATAAGTTCGTGGGTCACGATAACCAAGATGGCGGCCGCGGGCTGATCTCTCTCTCAAAAAAAAAAAAGGAACTTTGATCTTGAATCTTGATTAATGTCATGTTAATGATTATAGAACTATATTTAAAATAGAATTAAAAAATACAATAAAATTATAAACCTAAGCGTATTCTTACTTGCTTTCAGCTATTGTTCTTGGTGTTTCTTCAACGCTACCGGTACATCAAAGTCTTCAAATAATACACATTTCTCGAGAGATAATGATGGCCAAAGATGGCAAATCAACAGGAAGTATCCGGTCATATCCGTCACGTGACCAACCGAATAAAGCCCTCACGTGACCAGCCGGGTCCGAATAGCCAATTGCTCCTATAGATACCCGGATACCTATAGCCACTCCGGTCAATTAATGCAAAGAAAGGCAGCAAAGATATTAAGTATTTTTGCATAATGAAAGAGGTCTCAACTGGGATTTGAGACTATATATATTTTAAAAAATAGGTCAGTGTGCGCCTAGAGCAGGGGTGTCAACCTCAATCGTTCGGCGGGCCAAAACTCAAATCACACGTAAGGTTGCGGGCCGAGTAAGATAAACATTCAATAAGGGGGGGGGGGGAATATGTAATAGAAAACAGAATTTTTTTTTAATAATTAAAAATCATTGGCATTCCCATTTTCATTCTTATGCCAATTTGTCAGAGCTCGGTGCTTGGCACATTTTTTTTAGGCTACACAAGCAAGTAAGTTCGTTTATGTTGGGAGTAACGTTATGTGTCATTGAGATTCTCATGCTGGACTGCAAGTGTTCATCAGTGAGACGACTCCTGTGTGATGTTTTGTTAATCGTCATCACAGAAAACAGCTGCTCACACAGATATGTGCCACCCAACATGATCAAGGTTCGAGCCGCATGTAGACAAAGCTGGGGCATCTCTTCAGTAATGAAACGAGTGAACTGTGTAAGCCCAACTGTGTCGTACTTTGCCTTTAGTGTCCCATTACACTGCAGCTCTATTAGCTCCATATTCAAATTTACAGGTGTTGTTTCCACGTCTATGACAAATGGGTAACGAAATTACATTTCTGTGCTTCAAAAATCACTAATGCGCCATGCGAACTCAGCGCGAAGTAAGCAAAGTTTGTTTTTTTTTTCAGCAAAGTGTGCATTGGGAAACACCATAGCGTTGAATGAGTGTACGCCGGTCAAGACCTCGCAGGCCTGATATAATTGTACGACGTGGGCCGGATGTAACCCGCGGGCCTTGGGTTTGACACATGTCTTCTTCTTCTTCTTCTATATCTTAAGGGCCCACGATCAATTTATTGATCATTTTGGCTCCTATGCATGTAGATGGGATTTGCAATGTTTCTGTTACTGGTGGTGATGAGGAAATTATGCACTAGGGGTTTGAAGGCTTGAGGCAATAGACACAAATGTGTCTAGTGTTGTCGCCTCAACTGTTCCTTTTGAAAGATGGTTCCAGTCCCTGATTGTCTTGGGCAGGAATGAGCAGCTCCTATACTGGCTTCTTGCTGGTATGAGCCTGAATTGCCTGTCATGGCCTCGTCGCTGTCTATGGGGGAGAGGGACGAGTTTCTGTTTAATACTGGAACAGTGGACCAGCCCATTATTTATCTTGTACATCATGGAGAGCCTGGATTGTCGTCGTCGTTTCTCCAATGGTGACCAGCCTAGTGTTTCTAGCATGCTGCCAACACTAGAGGTATTCCTGTAGCGGTTTAGGACAAAGCGTGCTGCTCGTCGCTGGACCGCCTCCAACCTGTCAATGCTCTTCTGGGTAAATGGGTCCCAGACTGAAGATGCATAATCTAAAATCGGACGGATAAAGGCTTTATATGCTCTTTCTTTCACACAGGAGTTGCCAATCTTTAGATTTCGCCTTAAGAACCCCAAGGCTTGGTTTGCTTGGTTACATACATTGTTAATATGCTCGTCCCAGCGGACCTCTCTTTGAATGGTAACACCCAGGTACTTTACGGAGGAAACTTGCTCAAGAATATGGCCGTGCAGTTTGTATTGGTAGTGTAGAGGAGTACAACTTCTAGAGATTGATAGTGTCTGGCACTTGGCAGGATGAAATTCCATGTCCCAGCTCATCTCCCACTCAGCTAACAGATTGAGATCCTGTTGTAGCTGGTCCTGGTCAGATCTGTTGGCGATCGTCCTATACACTGCTGTGTCATCTGCAAACAGTCTTTCCTGTGATGTCAGTTTCTCCGGTAGGTCATTAATGTATGCTAGGAACAAACAGGGGCCCAGGACTGATCCCTGGGGGACCCCTGACTTCACATTGACAAAGGAGGAGCTTGTACCGCCCACCACCACTGCTTGGCGTCGGTGGCTAAGGAAGCTAGAGATCCATGTTTTAGTGGTGCCTTGAATCCCATATATCTGGAGTTTGTGTAGAAGCAAACTATGATTCACCCGGTCAAATGCCTAGAGCATCTGTGAAATATCCTTGGAGATGTTCAACATCATAGGGCTTGCTGTTCATGAGATCTCGTGATCACCGAGTGAATCAGCGGCATTTGGCTTTTGTCTAGAGAAATACTATTTGATTCGATGCGCACCAACATAAAATGTTCGCACTGAATTGCGCCTTCACTTTTTGTAAGAAAACTAAATATTAAATTATTGTTCAATTCCCTCCCAAGTGCAGAAGATCTCTGGAGTTTTAAGTAAGCAATGTTGTGGGAAAAAAATAGATTTAAAGGTATTAACTTTTAGGAGGTATTAACAATCATCATAATGCTCTATATTTTGGGCCATATTTACGCGTAAAGGACACTTAATAGCTTTTGGAATGTGAATCGACGTGTCATATACATAAGTCATGGTAAGAAGTAAGATAAAATTAAATTGGGAACTTAGGTAGTCCATTTACAATTATAGTATAGTATTAGTAAGACATTCAGAGGCGTAGAGAAGATGAGGCGGTTCTCAACCTTTTCCAGACCATCTGAAAACACATACCCTTTCAGCTATGAAGTAGCAACGAAAATAATTGTGTGGCTGGGGGTCGCCACGACACGAGAAACTGTATTAAAGGGTCGCGGCACTAGAAAGGTTGAGCACCACTGTTTTACACTATAATTGTGTTGAATCTTGGTTACATAAAAAACAGGTTTCTCGATCTTGCTAGGGTTGCACTTGTAGTTCTTGCCATGGGCGCCATTAATGCTCGGTGTACATTGGTGAAGGGGGAGGTCGGGTGGTACTCTACTGGCATTGGGGTTTAGGGTACCTAAGTGTCCGATTTTCTTTTAAAGAACGTTTGGATAAATTATAAACATGCTTAAGAATTCTGTGTCCATATAGAACCTTTTGGTAACCTGGGGCATATTGACCTTTTGGTAGCCTGGGGCATATTGACCTTTTTGTAGCCTGGGGCATATTGACCTTTTGGTAGCCTGGGGCATATTGACCTTTTGGTAGCCTGGGGCATATTGACCTTTTGGTAGCCTGGGGCATATTGACCTTTTGGTAGCCTGGGGCATATTGACCTTTTGGTAGCCTGAAGCATATTGACCTTTTGGTAGCCTGGGGCATATTGACCTTTTGGTAGCCTGGGGCAAACAAAACAGCAAAGCTGTTGGAAATGTTGCTGCAGGCTGTATAAAAATCTCACGAAAGTATGCTTTGCACAAATAACTTTGATAAGATAACTATGCTAACAGAGACGTAGCTAGGGATTGGGGGGGGGATTTTGGGGCCCGGGGGCTTCGCCTCTTAGAGGAACCTGCATTTTGACATTCGACATTATTTCATGTGAAAAAAAATTTCGGACACGCCTTTGGGGGCCCCCTCAAGTAAGGGCCCGGGGGAGACTTTTGAATTTGGACCCCCCTCCCCTGGCTATGCTAAGATCACACAGTTGTATCATGGTTCTCCAATGAAGCAACAACCGATTCGATGCTAGTAGGTTGTAAACAAAAAACACGCACACCAATCATGTCCTCGTCTTCTTTGTTGTAAGGAAGTTGTTATTTAGGGATTGGTTGGCGGCTTTCTCACGATTGACATTGACGAAAGAAATCACGACTGATGCCAATCTGAATCACAAGGCAATCGACGAACTGCTATTTGCTAATGACCAATCCACCTTGAACGACAAGAACTAGCTGCATTGTAGCCTTGAACAGTACCGGCGCAATGTATGCAATAGAAGCCAACGCGTACAAGACTGGGTTCAGGTCACGTTGGCCGAAACCAAAGAAAAAAACTGGGCATACTGCTCCGAAAACTTAAAGATTTTTAGATATCTGGGAAGCATCTTTTCTTTGAAGACAGAAAGAAAAAAAAAGGACAGAGAGATAAGTCAAGAATACTTAGCGAAAACGCAAGCAAATCGACCCGCAAACCAAGACACCCAAGAATATTGATGGAGCCCAAAGCCAGGTTAAAAGTATGGACACTATTTTATCCCAACCCTTACTTACCAGTGCCATGTCTGATCACTAGGTATGATCTGAACTGAAACGCCAAAATGTTGTGCAAGGAAGTGCTCCGACAACTATTCATCGGTTGCAACGTTGCTATGTTAATAGCAGGCGCCGTCGTGATAGGCTTCGGGACACATATGTCTTCTAAGGCCGGTCTCGACATGCTACAATATCGACAGGAGCTCTCGGAATTTCTGGCGGTGAGTAATGGGGCCTTAACGTATGTGTGAGTATTGGGGCTTAAAGTACGTGTGAGTATTGGGGCATTAATGTGTGTGTGAGTATTGGGGCATTAATGTACATGTGAGTATTGGGGCCATAACGTATGTGTGAGTATTGGGGCATTAATGTATGTGTGAGTATTGAGGCCATAACGTATGTGTGAGTATTGGGGCATTAACGTGCGTGTCAGTATTGGGGCTTAAAGTACGTGTGAGTATTGGGGCATTAACGTATGTGTGAGTATTGGGGCATTAATGTATTTGTGAGTATTGGGGCCTTAACGTGCGCGTGAGTATTGGGGCTTAAAGTACGTGTGAGTATTGGGGCATTAACGTATGTGTGAGTATTGGGACATTAATGTATGTGTGAGTATTGGGGCCTTAACGTGCGTGTGAGTATTGGGGCTTAAAGTACGTGTGAGTATTGGGGCCTTAATGTATGTGTGAGTATTGGGGCCGTAACGTATGTGTGAGTATTGGGGCCTTAACGTATGTGTGAGTATTGGGGCCTTAAAGTATGTGTGAGTATTGGGGCCTTAACGTATGTGTGAGTATTGGGGCATTAACGTATGTGTGAGTATTGGGGCCTTAACGTATGTGTGAGTATTGGGGCCTTAACGTATGTGTGAGTATTGGGGCCTTAACGTATGTGTGAGTATTGGGGCCTTAACGTACGTGTGAGTATTGGGGCCTTAAGGTATGTGTGAGTATTGGGTCCTTAACGTATGTGTGAGTATTGGGGTCTTAACGTACGTGTGAGTATTTTGAATTTCCAGCATGTATTTTGGGGCATGAGTTTTATTATATGATATTGCCATGTTATCAAAATTTATAAATTCTAGGCTGTCGATTCGCATAGTTATTCATTTAGTGTAATGGTTAAGTTGAAACAAATGATTGTCATTGAAGTTCATATTAACTCGACATTGCCTCTCCAATCCTTATAAACCAAAGGCTGTTTGAATGGGATAGTTCCCCTGCCTACCCATCTTATTTGTTAGTTTCCTTACCAACCCAGTTTTGTTATAGTTCCCTTGCCTACCCATCTTATTTGTTAGTTTCCTTACCAACCCAGTTTTGTTATAGTTCCCTTGCCTACCCATCTTATTTGTTAGTTTCCTTACCAACCCAGTTTTGTTATAGTTCCCTTGCCTACCCATCTTATTTGTTAGTTTCCTTACCAACCCAGTTTTGTTATAGTTCCCCTGCCTACCCATCTTATTTGTTAGTTTCCTTACCAACCCAGTTTTGTTATAGTTCCCTTGCCTACCCAGGTTTTTTTATAGTTCCCTTGCCTACTTTTTTGATAGTTCCATTGCCTTCCCATGTTGACTGATAGTTCCCTTGCCTTCCAAGGTTTTTTTTTTATAGTTCCCTTGCTTCCACAGATTGATTGATGGTTCCCTTGCCTGCCAAGGTTGATTGATAGTTCCCTTGCCTCCACATGTGGATTGATGGTTCCTTGCCTCCACATGTGGATTGATAGTTCCCTGGCCTCCACATGTGGATTGATGGTTCCCTTGTCTCTACATGTGAATTGATGGTTCCCCTGCCTTCACATGTGGATTGATAGTTCCCTTGCCTCCACATGTGGATTGATTGTTCCCTTGCCTCCACATGTGAATTGATGGTTCCCCTGCCTTCACATGTGGATTGATGGTTCCCTTGCCTCCACATGTGGATTGATAGTTCCCCTGCCTCCACATGTGGATTGATAGTTCCTTCCCGTTCCCCAGGTTGGTGGCGACGTTTTGGCGGGCGTCGGTTACCTCTTATTCGGCCTCGCCGTCTTCGGTCTGGTCGGAGTCTTGACCCACTTTCCCTGTGTGCTCAGCCAGTACGCCAACATCGTGGCCGTATTGTTTGTGGTCTCTGTGGTAGGATCAACGGGAATACTCAGCAATCTGGTAAGTGTTTATCGGAGAAATAAAAAAAAAAAATTCTGTCACAGATTTCAGATATGAATGTGAATACATGGGAGATAAGCAATATGATAGTTATTACTTATATAATGTACAGAGTGTTGGGACTTGAGCGAACCGGCCAATGAGAGCGAAGTCAGTGTGAAACAAGAATGAGGTTGAATAAAATGGTAGTTGAATCAAGAATTTTTTGTATGAGAAGATTGAACATGTTTTAAATGAAGATTTATAGTGTGTTGGCACATAACTAAGTGACGAAGATTACCGAAAAGTTAGTCATTGAAATTCATATAAGTTCCAAGTGTTCTTCGCAGTCACTTGTGTGAGATCAAAGGTCTCATTTTGAATGTCAAATGCGAACAATATAGAAAGCCACTGCTATTTGAACCAATTCGCCACTGGTATTATTAAAAAAAAAAAAAATTATTGACAAGAAATTTTGTAGTTACATATTTCATGAAGGAGAAAAAAATATAACTTTAAAAAATAACGCGCATTACCATAGTAGTAACAATACGTTTTGTTATAATGGATATTCTTTTTTTTTTTCCTTCTCTTTTTTTTTTAACAGAAATATTTGGTGAAATGAATCTGTGCAGTAAAAGGGCGCGTGCCATTAGAACATTATTAATATAGTTCATTGGCGTCAACAACAAAAAATGTGCTGCTGCGAACCTAGGGTTGGGGGTGGTGGGGGTGGAAGCACTAATTGTAATTCTTATAAAGTGCTTTACTTCTATGCATGATTTATCAAATTTTCATGCCCCTACCCCCCCTCTCCCCCATTGCTCAATATTACATTTTTTTAAAAGGTTTTATAGGGCAAAAGTTTTGGTTTTAGGGTTTGTCTAATTTGCAATGTTCTTCGTATGACCCCTAGAGTTTGAGCAAACAGTTTCATCCCGCAGGAAGACATCGTGTTCCATGGCAGGAAGGTGGCGATTGCTGCCCTGGCCATCTACTACGGCGAGTCACGCAAGCCTTCGAACAAGTTCACAAAGTTCATGGACAAATTACAGGTCATTTCCGGGGGGGGGGGACTCTCGTTCACTGCTCGTCTTGTCAGGGTTTGTTTGTGTCAAGACAAGTTTTTTGCCGTAATCTTCAAATAAAATGAATAGTCGTGAGGTGGATGGGGTGCAGGAGGGGAAAGTGGGGGGGGGGGTTGGTTGTTGTTCCTTGACGAATTTCAATGCCCCCCATAAGTTTTCTTCATTTGCGGTGAATCCTCAAACTGATTNAACCATGGTAATCTGCATCCAAAACTAAGTGAATTAAGTTAATTTATTGTTGGACATATTTTTGCTCGGGGGGGGGGGGCACTTGGCTTTCCCCAGGGGGTTAGAACCCCCCACCCCCCCCCCCCTTACCGGAGATCTAGCTGAAAGAAACCCTGTTAACGGGTATACGCCCTTGCAATCCTTTTCTTGTTCCGAACGTATTCGTCAGCAAAAGGAGAAGTGCTGTGGGGTGCTGAACTACAGCGACTACCAGAGTTACGCCTACAGGTGGAAAGGCCGTGATTCCTACACCGTGCCGCCGTCCTGCTGTGTCTACACCGAGTTCAAAGACGGCTACGCCTACGTACGAGACCCTTCGTGTGTCTTGTAAGTTTTTTGTTTGTTTGTTTTTTTCTATACGCCAAACGAACAGACACTTTCTTTTTTTTTCCCTCCGAGTGCAATCATTCCGGAAACATTGATGAAAGATCAACACACGAGGGCTTAACCGGGTGCAGTTGGTTTTTTACACAGGGTCCGGGCATTTGATGCATCCAAGTGTCACACATACACAAAAAAAGAGTTGACTTCTCATTTTCTTTTTTTTTTTTAATTTATACAGCCAGTCGTACACTCTACCTGCCATTATATAAACAATAGTCCTACAGATAATCCTACACCCTACCTGCCGGTCTACAAACAATAGTACTTTGCCATACACATGACTCTTTATTGATTAATATAATAGTCGCCTCCGATATTAAAATCCTCCTTTTTACGTGAGCCAACAGTCACACATGACACTCGCTGCTTGACAGCTTCCCCCCCCCCCACTCAGTACTGTTAATATATAACATATTGAGTAGGGGAGGGTCGTTTGTGAAAAGGAAGCAGCCACACCAAAAGCAAAATATATATAAGAGATACCCGAAAGTCTAAATTTAAAATGTGTTTCATTGGGTTCTTTGTTAAGCTCTGTGAAATGATGAAACGACTAAAACGTCAAGCTCCTGGCTCAGAGAGTCACGTGAACATTCAATCGCGATGTATTCCACATGAAGATGAGATCAGTGACTGATAGAGTTTTGTGGCGTCACAACAAGAGGCACCGATCCCCTTATAAAGTGGCGCTGCCGCAGCAAGAGGCGCCGTCAGTAAGAGGAGGTGCCGCCACCACAAAAAAGGCAGCCCTCCCCCCCCCCAAATACTAAGATGATGTTTGGTTAAAGTTAAAGGGAAAAAATATCTAAATTTTTCTTTTAAATGTAAAATGTAATGTTTTATTTCCCTTGCGTATACAACTTGTCACAGGCTACAAGATTTAATCGCCTGAATTTCAAAACAGAGTAATGCGAGTCATGTTATTATTTGTTGATAACAATTCCGGTGGTCATACCCAGTGACGTCATTTTGTTGTTTTTTTTAGGGGAAAAAAGTTGGGGGGGGGGGGGGGAGGACCAAACCAAAACTTGAACGGCTTGTTGAGCTGTTATTTTTACTGGAGGCGCCACCGTACATATCAATTAAAATAAGCCTTGCCAGATTATAATTGATGTATTCCAATGATAATTTTAAATGATCGAAATTTTATCTTTTATTTTTCCATTATTTATTTTCTGCTACGCTTGATTTTCTGCATATTATATTGCAAATTCGGATGATTAAAGGGTTGAAAGGAGGGGTGGGGGGCTAATGTCCCTCCCGTCCGACCCAAATGACGTCTCTGGTTAACCCCCCCCCCACTCTCTCCCCCCCCCATATCCCCAAACCTCTTTTTATGACTCAACATGAATCTTCAACGTTCGTTCCCAGGGAGCCCACTGTCAACAACAGCTACATCTCACGCCCGTGCTACCCTGTGCTGGAGGACTGGCTCGACAGCCACGTGACGCGCTTCACCATCCTCTGCGTGAACGTGTCCCTGATGTTCGGGCTCCTGCTCGTCCTGTCGTGTTTGGTTGGACCTTTCTCTTGTCTCACGTGATCAGCCCGACGGTGCGCGGACGATTGGAGAGTTGCGTCTCGGGGGACGGGACGGGGGGGGAGGAGGGGGGACACTTCAGTGCCTTCGTCTTCACTTCAACGTGAGAGCACCTGCGGGTGGGGTTGGGGCAGGGGATAGTAATTGTTCTATGACTAGACGAAAAAATCGTTTAAAAATACCTTCGATTAGCCATGAGTCTAGACATTCACACATTTCCATAGAGATGTGTACTTTAATCGCAAGAGACAGCATCCATTCCATCCATAAATATTTACTTCAATCGAAAGAGCAGGCATCCAATCCATCGATCAACATATATACATCAATCTCAAGAGCAAGCATTCATTACATCCATAAATATACACTTCAATCGCAAGAGCAGGCATCCAATCCATCGACAAATATGTACCTACTTTATTTACCACGGCAGAAATCCATTATTTCATCCAGCAGTCTGTGCTCTAAAGCAATCACTCGAACTAAGCTTCCTGACAGCATGACCCACCATTGTTTGTGGGACGTAGGAAACATAAAAGGATCTTTGTGAATCGCAGAACATGTTACACGTGTAGCGGCGAGTAAAGAAGATGATGAAAAATATCCCGAGTTGGTTTAAATTGATCAAATATGTGTATGTTTAAAATGTTTCGTTCAGAAATGCCAAGGCCGTGTCAGGGTTATCCATTCGGGCAATGGGACCTGATGATCAAGCAGTCCCGTGTCCTCATAACCTCCCCCCCCCCCCAAAAAAAAATAAATAAATAAAATAAAATCGCCCAAACGGTGGTCGTAATCCTGGTCCAACTGACTTTGAACTTTGAACACAAATGACACAATCAGTGGCAGGAGGAGAGCACGTGTCCAGATGGGAGTGGGCGTGGAACCGGTCAGCATTTGTGTGTGTGGTGGGGGGGAGGGGGAACGGGGGGGGGTGGATGGGTCGGACTCTTTATTGTGGCATATTTGGTTATGTCCCGTCTTGGAATAATATTTTTGTTCTAATTCCCCCACCGGTAAATAGTGATCATGGTGCTGTAACACGTGATGTAATGGTGCTGTAACACGTGATGTAATGGTGCTGTAACACGTGATGTAATGGTGCTGTAACACGTGATGTAATGGTGCTGTAACACGTGATGTAATGGTGCTGTAACACGTGATGTAATGGTGCTGTAACACGTGAAGTAATGGTGCTGTAACACGTGATGTAATGGTGCTGTAACACGTGATGTAATGGTGCTGTAACACGTGATGTAAAAAAAAAAATTAAAAAATAATGTTTTGCTGTGTTGAAATCGAGGCACTCCTTTCGAGTGCATTGTGCAGATTGTTTAGAACGCCTGTGCAATTGAAACCAAAATATGAACACCATTGGACATCATGTCGTATGCATTGTCTAGGCATTCTATTTAAAGCAAATGATGTAATGATGCGATAACACGACGATGGCACTCAAACAAATGGTAGAGAGCAGGGTGTGTGAGACACAGGCAGGTACAAAAACGGCTCAGAAAAGTTGTTGTTTTTTTTAATTAAAAAAAAATAATTGTTTACTTATTGCAGAAGTCTAAACTTGAATGACATTTTTATTTACAGTATAGTGCATTAAAAAAACACACACTAAGAATTAAAAACAAAACCTTAGAGCAAAGCTTTTCGTATAAATCCTTTATGCGATTTTTTATTATTTTATTTTATATTAATCCGCTTTTACACCGCAGATTTATTTCACTATTTTAGAAAAAAAGAAAATATTACGAACCAGCGCGTATTTGTGATATTAAAAAAAAAAAAAGAACATTTCTTTCACGAATCTTGTTTAGCGCAGTTATCGGGAATTTTAGTTCCTGAAATCAGTCTCTTTACATTTCAGTTCATTTTTCCTTGAAAAAGAAGAGAAAAAATTTTTTTTTGGGG